AATTGAAAGCGCACGGACCCCATTAAGATCTGTGTCCAAGGTTCGGGAGTGGGCAAAGTGGTTCACAACTTCGACCATCCGGGTAGGTGCAGATCTGGGTTCAATTATATAAATTAAAAGCATTATAATAATAGCCATAGTGGGCAGGAACAAATTGAATAGTGCGTTTCATGCAACTAAGGTCTGGTTAATCAATTCTGGCCATAAGGAAAGACCTGGGGACAGTTGGGAGGGGCAAGAGCGTCGTAGAAAAAGCCGAGGTTAATGATCAAGTTCCTGCGCAGGACTCCAGTTGGATTTGGGTACAATGCGCGAACCGTGGTGTTGACGAATTGCACATAGAATGTGCACGGATCCGTCAACCCTCCCATGCTTGTGTCGACAACGAAACTGTTCACGGCGCCGTTATTCCTTCCGGGTTGAGTCGGGTGGGCAGCAAAAATGATATCGGCACCTTCTGCTGCAGTCGGGCTTGAAGGCCTGAAGAAACCTCGCGGGAATCGCATATCCCTGAAGAAGTTTAGGGCAGAGTCCATGTCCAGATGGTGGGCGTTTGCGCCAGTCTTGCGACCGTCGACGAAGAGATTAGCAACGAACGCTGCTTCACCGTATGCCGTGATGTGGCGGAAACCTCGGATGCTGAACTGTGGGTTCGTTGCGATGGACTGCTGGATGCGGTGGAAGCGCAGCTCGCCGCCAACGGTATAGTTGTAGAAACCATTGCCGAAGCGGTTGCTGAAGTCCACAAACTGGGTGGCCAAAGGTCAGAGGTGAGTCATCACAAACACTTTAAAAAGCGTACTTGATCAAACAGAGGCTGGTTGAATACGGTATGGTCTCCAAAGAACGCGTCAACTGGACAGAGATGTTGAGGCGAATTCTACATTGGAGAGAGTAAGGACTTACCTCGGGTCATGCTTGCATCACCCTCAAAACTGCCGTGGTTACTGATCCCAGCAACGGTAGCGGGTGCTGGCGGGTCAGGTCCAGTGCGGCTCGTCTTGCCACCAATGCTCAGGAGATCGGTGACGAGATTTCCCTCAAGGATGTGAGCAGAGTAAGTCGCAATCCTTGCCCCTTGTGTCTCCATGTTGAATCCTTGTGTTGAGAATTTTGTCAGACTTTTCAGGAGGATCCTTTAGTGCTTCGTGTGATGCATACCTTCCTGGACAGCCTTAATAATATCCGAGGGCGATGCAACACCGTCTCTTGGTAAATACTGTTCAGGACTGGTCAGTGATAATATTCAAAGTGTACTAGTGTACGTTATACTCACTCCGTGTGACGCCAATGTATTTAATCCAGGGCAAGGTCCACGGATGTCACCACGTCTGAGAGGCCTCCAAGGATGGTCTCGGTCATCTACGAGCTTAGCACCCGTGAAGCTGGGAGGCGCCGGTGGAGGTGGGGGAACTCGGGAGTTCGAACCGGAGGAGCCTCTTGCTATGTCTTCTTCCTGTCTGGCTTCAAGGCCACCGAGTGAGCCGTACTGAGGGAACGCATTGATCTGGCTGGCGGTGGCGAGTGCGAAGAGCAGGATGGATAGGGACTTGAGTGCCATTGGGGGAGCTGAGGAGATATCAGAGGCTAATTGGAATCTCAATGTCGATAGAGAATGAGTTTTGAAGCCGCATTAATGCTCGGTTATATAGGCATTGAGGTTTCGTAGTATGTGCTTACATTGGCGCAGCACTTACTACATCCATTTGCCGTTCGGATTATGCATCCAAGGTTTGACCCGCTGCGCGTCTAAGGCACCTGATGACCTTTGAACCCACGCTCATTGGTCAATGGCAGGCGTCTACCCCATTTTTGCCATCCAAACACGTCGAATGTCCCAGGACATTACGCAAACATCTGTTGTAACCCCTTGATTAGAGATGCCAAACAGTGATTTGGCGCGCTCTTCCTGGCGGAGCGACGGTTCATGCAAGGGCTTTGTCATCTTGGACGGATACGCGGAATACGGAGCATCCCTCCGTACATGTAGCCGTACTGTTATACAGTCAACACCTTAGCCAATTTGTCTCCCAGACTGCGGGAAACTTAAGATTCCTTGACAATCGCGGCATTCCTGACAAATAATGGTAACGTAGAAAATGGTCCCAGTGTATCTATCAGACCCTTAGCTCACTCGGACCTCTGTGCATTAATTATTGATTCTACCACAAGGTCATTGAGACTTGAAAGAGCCTTGATTGAAGTTGAAGCCATTGAGCAGTTGGATTATGGAGCACAGTAAAGGCATACCAATGATCCGCCGCCGCCGTCCGGGCGCTCGAGCCGTCAGCAAGTATGGATTACCAAATGGAATGCCATCATTTCCAGCTTGAAAGTTTTGCAGGTGCTCCTGAGGTCTGAGAGCGGGAGTCTCAGTCACCAGCCGATTCAACGGTTACTACGTAATGATTCCTGCTCACCGACATCGGAGGTTTCCTGCAAATTCTCCCGGGTATCGTGTGGATTCGCAAACCATTGTCGGCCAATGCCGCCGTTGCTTGTCCTGGCCGTAGTAACGACTGAGTCCGGCGGATGTGGTCGGAGATGCACCATGCTCTTTCCGATCCGCGGGCTCGAAGGGCGAGCTGAGGTGCAGCAAATGCTTACTGATCACTTACTGATCACTTCACTCTCTCTGAGAACACAACTCCAAGGAGCTCTCGGAGAAATTCGAGCCCATGATGAATAAGTACGCCGAGACTGAAAACCACGCTTTGTCATTGGGTAGTGCTACAACTGTCTCGCTCGGGATTCAGCTTTTGACTAGGTATGTGTGTTATCACTGACGAGAGTGTCGTATATCGGGCTTCAAGGCGAATGGTTTCGTACCAGGGATGCAAACTTCAAAGAACTTGACGCGATTGTTCTAGAAGCTGCCTAATACATAGTCCGCTAAGCGCTTACCTGAAGCTTTGTGAGCGAGTCACTGGGAGGAAGGCTCGAGAAAAAGGCGACGGCACTTTCTTCGAGGTTCTGCTCCAGTACTGATATCGATCGTATACCTCGTAGTGTGCTGGCTTTGGCCAGCAATGCCTTCAGAAGCCTGCAGTGACTGATAGCTAGCCAGGGGAACGCGTACGTATGATTCATTGACCGTGTGGTAAGTAGGAGAAAGTAGGTGGATAGTGATCTTGAGTGGCATCTTCGGCTGGAATACGTGGTTGGAAAAGTAGAGGAATCACGTTATGGCTATTCATACTCGAATAGAGGCTACCATCCCTTCAAAATAGACTTGCATTTGCGTCGGCGTTAGGTCATACAGTAGGCTTTAGCGCCCACCATTATCCTTATACGCTATCATGTAGCTAATAAGGTAAGAATTCAAGCCCCGTTTAAACGCGTTTGAAACGCATGCGACTTTGTCTCGGAGCCCCGGCGCTTGTCTGTTTATCGTAGCATTCCCGTTTATTGTAGTATTCTGTAAACACCCATGTACTTATATACGTTTCATTTTATATTGATGAATAATTCAACGCCGTTATACCCTGTTTAAATCGCTTGATCATAATCAAACACTCGAGTACAAGACTTTAAGTGGCGGACAAACATATCATAAATCAATCCAGCTCCTCCTCAACGTACTCCCGAGCCTCCTCAAGGTCATCAAACTCCCTTTCATACAGCCCTTCATCATCCACAAACTCGCGATTCCTGATTACACTACCCCAAATGCCACCCCGTCCATTACTGGAGCCAAGACGCACGATGGGGCTTCTTTCGTACAAGCCCTCATCCAGATCGCGTTTGTAGCGAATGAAGGAATTCCTCTGCCTCGCGTGACAGGCCGCAGGGTTCGCTAAGCCCAAGCACGGGCTTATGATGCGCTTGTATAGCTCTGAGGTGAGGCTTTCCTCGAGATCGCGGCGGGCGATTCCGGGGGTTCTGGCTCTGAGGATTGGGTTAGTGCGGTGGCTTAGGGGCACACGGCGGCTGGTGGTTTTGCGCAAGGGGGTGTAGAAAGGTGGCACTGGATTCTTGATGAACCTGCGAGAGAGGCTGCTCGATGGTTTAGTGTGGGAGTATGGGAATGAGATTTGAAGTGGCACACCTTGGTTCTTCGGTTTCGGTAGCGGACACCTGGTTAGCTGCGAGGAATGTGGTAACGACCAGCGTTACGAGTAACTTGAGAAGGGCTGAGGTTTGCATGGTAGGTCAAGGTGCGTAGCACAGGATTCGGAGCGAATGAGTGAAGTTCTGTTGGTGTTGATAAGTTCAAAGTCAGCAGTAGGATGTCTTATACTGGCTTTCGAAGTGAGGCTGCGGATTGTTCGAGACACCGTTGCGATGCTTTTCAATGTTTTACCAGACTACCCAGCTTTTCGACAATCTACGAATGTCAGTTACTCGCGCTGCGGCACTGTTTGCAATGTCTAGTCTATTTAGTTTTTGCAATGCTCATTAGAGACTGTTGCTCGGGAGTTGTAATTTCCGTCAGATATTTGCTATTTATAGGGTCGCGCGCATATATGGTCAATACCATCATTGTACCCCTTGATAGACCGAGAATTCCTTACTACATCTCCACCCTAATTGGAGTCCCTATTGATTTCGCCGGATACAGAATATCCGTATGTTATGGCTCAGTTAGTTGCCTCGGGCTCATCCGCAGCGCACATACACCAACGAGCAGCTGGGAAGGAACCATGAGGGTACTTGGGTGTAAAGAGAATCGAGCTGGCGAAATCCTTCGAATTGCTAGAAGCCTAGTACGTGGTTCTCTAAGCTAGCGGGTGGAGTATCCGTGCACCAGAATTAAGCATAACCTGACAATACGATGGATGATGATACTGGCACTGATTGGGCACTGGGGCAGTGGTGACAAGCCAGAAAGCACCTAGACATTCTAGTTAACGACCGAAGATGTCGGGTCCAGTACCGATTAAGCAACGCCAACAACCATGAACTGCCCATCTCAGCAGACTCCAGACCCTTTAACCGTTACACAACCACAGGCAAACCCGAGTCGGAGGCGCGGAATCCTACATTGCTATGAAAGTATCGCCTGCCTAGCTCAATCGGATAGAGCGTCAGACTCTTACAATGTCTCACGGCGGAGAAGCGATCTGAAGGCTGCGAGTTCGACCCTCGCGGTGGGCTACTTGATATTTTTGTCTTGGATTTGTATGCATCGAGGATAAGGATCAATTTTTTCGGCTCTGCGTTTTAAGGAAGCCCGACTCGTTACATTCTCAGCCCAGAAAAAAATTGAAGAGAAGGTGTATACTCTTCGATTTTTTGCTGTACTCAAGTACCAAGGTCCAAGACCCTCTACCGCCGGGATCCAGGGAAAAGGAATCCGAAGGGTGAGAGTTCGACCCCTTTGGGCTACTTGATTCCATGATTGACATCTGTTTTTCTTCTAGTATGCTTCAAGGGCCGGCGGGAGGCAGGCGGCAGTTATGAAGTGCGTCCTCCGTTATTTCTTTGAATCGAAGGGAACCAGGAGGAAACCAGAAGGAACTGGATATAGCAAACGTCCGCTGACCAACGTTGCGTCATTTCCACTGTATCGGAGGAACGTTGAGCGCCGTCGTAATAGTAGGAAGCATGTTTTATTTAGGTGAGGTGTATGTAGCTAATGAATGGGTGATGGGTACATTGTATCATCTCCGCATGGATTGGAATGCCCCGAGGACGCGACTCAGAGGGTCGCCAGAGGTTCAGATGACGTCGATCGTTATCGAAAGCCTCGAGTCTTTGATGGTTATGAAGGTGACGTACGTACGTATTTGCCGTGGTCGTGTGCAGCGTTGGGGCAGACCCTGTGGTTGCAAGGGTTCGGAATTGTGAGTGGGGAGCAGCAGTACCCTCCGTAACGGAAGACGTCCACAACCCGAGTGAATGGCAGATTAGAGTAGATTCAGAATCAGAGGAGGGCGTTGTTGAGGACGGCGATACTTGGGCGAATCTATAACACTATGTCAACACGAGGCGAGAGAGTGCCATCGTAATATGTGTGTGGAGTTTGTGATTGCTGGGAAAGGTGATATTGAGGTTGTGTGTGTACACATCCGGGCTGTAAGACCGTGATGAGTAGTGGGCTACTAGAGTGGCCGGGTTAGTTGTCAGGGAGGACGTGGTGGTCGGAGAAGAACATTGATTGGGATTGAGGCGGTGATGATTTGAATATAACCCTAGTATCCTACATATTAAGCGACTACTTATGGTTTGTGGTGTCGGGGGTTCTCGTCCTCGTTCAGCACGATATGACTTTGAAAAGGGTTCTTCCGAGATGGACCCCACGTTTGGCGTGAATGGGGATTGAGCGGGCGGAACTCGGGGTATTGAAGCCGTATCGTTGGGTAGTGTGCTGAAATTGGTGGTGGAGCAGACGGAACCGTTGGTGAAACCAGTGCTTGAACAAGGGTGCACTGCCGAGTTGAGAATATGGAACGATGGGGAGAAGGAGAAGTTGTGATCTGTGCCAAGCGCCGCAGTTTTGATGATCAGAGGTAGCGAGCACGTGTGATGCCTTGGTTACGAGCCTTGTCGAAGTTGAGAAGGGGCATTTGAAGTTGGTTATTCCCGTTCGTCTACGTCTACAGTTCGTCTAGTACAGCAGAGGCCTCGCTGGGCTTGCCTCTGTGGCCTGTCTTGTCTTTATCCAGAACGCTTATTTCATAATGTGAGTGAATAAATGACATGCTCATCACACGCGGTAACTGACTGATGGTGTGTATGAATGTTTGATACGGGGCTTTTGAATGAATTGGCCAATTCCCTTGTCGTCGTTGTTATTCTTTTCTCATCCACGTTCCGTGCCTTTCCCTCGTCCTCGACGCTCACGATCGCTGTTCACGACCCCTTTCTCCGCCCTTGCGCGCGCGCTCTCGACGGTAATACAGCACCAAAATGGCCGGCTTCGGGGACTTCCAACCCCTGTGCAATATCGTTCCTAGTTACCCATGGTGCAACCTTTTTTACAGTCAGGTGAGTGATATCAAGTATTTAAATCCTCGATCATAAACTAAGACTTTTGTTTGCTTCCTTTTCTGCTTCTTACTTGGTGGTTAGCTATGGAGGAAGGCTCCGGAACTGTTAGTAGGCGAGTCGGCGGATAGAGAATCAGCGCCAGTAGGGGTCAACCCAGAATGTGGAATCCCAAGGCTGAACTTCAACGGTTCAATATCCAATGTCGCCAACATCGCCGCCTGCGGAGCCAGTTTTCTTTTCGTCCTCACCCTCGTCATCCTCTGCAATCGTCGCAAGGCCGCTGTTGGTGGGTGCACAATTTTCTTTTTACGTGGCTGGGCTATGCATCGCATGGCCTGTTGATTGTTGGTTGATGTGAATCTCACCTCACCTCCCAGGTCGAATCGAACTGCGCTCATTTCTCATTGTATACCTCCTCACCCTCCCTTTCCAAATCCTATCGACGGGCTCGATCTTCGAGCAAGGCTCCCTCGTCCTCACAATCCTCACTGCCATCCATGCAGGCCTCGTCACCGCCATGTTCTGGGGTCTTCTCGCCAATGGAATCGTAGCGACACAGGTCGTGGAGGATGGGACCCTTAGCAGCATGATAGTGCGTCTGACCTCTGCTTTCGCCTGTCACTAATGCTGACATCAACAAAGCCCTATACCATCCTCACCATCCTCTTTTTCGGCGTTACGACCTACGTCTCGCTCGATATCGGACTCGGCGTGACAGAACTAGTTGGCGGCCTCTCAACCCCCCCAGAAGCCCTCAGAAATATACCATTATTCGTTCTTACCAGTATCTGGCCTGCCGCGTGAGTCTCTGTCCCACTACCGCTCGCTGTGCGGCATCTTACCATCCCGAACAAACAGCGCCGCAGTGGTCTATTTCATCCTAATGACATACATCGTTCTGCACGTCCTGAAAGAGACAAAACCGATGTGGTTCTACCTCCTCTCCGCCATCCTCTTTGTCCTCTCGCAACTCGCCATGTTCTTGTTGAGTCGGGTGCTGTGCAATGTACGTTGGCTTCGTCCCTCCGTTTGTTCGGCTCCGGTTAATGTTTAATTGTAATGAATGGCGATAGGCATCACAAGCCAAGGTCGACGGAAGCTTCATTGCGACACTATTGGAGACTGCGGCGGTGGGAGTGTTGTATCTCGCGTGGAAGGGTATCACGGAAGGTGCGTTTTCATTCCTCGCTTCTCCCGCCTTTCTGTTCCCCCATATTCGTTCCTCCCGTCATGGCCATACCACCCACAACAACTATATGCTGATGTCAAACCGCTTTTGTAGAATCATGGGACGACGATTACTACCCCAACTAAACTAGCTAATTACCATCGATGCGACCCATGACCATGACCCATGCTTCAATACACGCACATATACCCTACCCCCTTGTCCCTTGTCCTCCCTGTACCCCGCCCACGCCGCCGAAGCCTGAAAGCAAGTCGGAATAGCGGTTCGGCTTGAAAGTTGAAGTTGAAGAGCAGAATTGGTTTCTTTGGACTCGCTCGGTCCGTCCAATGATCATGTCGTTTCGTTTCGTTTCGTTTTCGTGTTGTGTTTGTACATTCGTGTGCGCTACGTTCATTCATTCTTTCATGCAAACATTAGCTTGGTCGCTCTTCATTCATTCAGTACTCAATGTTCAATATGCAATGTTCGATTATTCGCTTATTATTTCTGTTCATCGCCATCGCCGTTGGCAGCACGCTTGTTGTTATTTGTATTACTTGCACGACGTTTGAATGACTGGGTGGTTGGTTATGTACGTCTGCCATCCATCTTGATTCCGATTTCCTTTACATTGAACCTTCGTCTGTCCCATGTCTTGTCGTGTTTTGTCTTTTTTTTTCCTTTAATTTTCTTGTGTGGTTGATCCTTGTTGCGCCGCCACCCACCCTTCTTTCCCTGTGGAAACAACAACTCTGCCCTCCAGGTTGGACGGGCGAGGAGGAGAAAGAGAGGAGGATAGCGTGGGATGGGGTGGGATGGGAAAGATGTGGGTATGGAGGTTTGGGAGGAAGGGGGCTTTGGAGGAGGATGGATGGGAAGACGGAGGATGGAGGATAGGACGGCGCCCGACGCCCACCGTGTACACGCCCATCTGGATTCTGGACGCCATCACCGCCATCACCGCATATACCACCTACATACCGCTGCACTACCGCCACCACAGTACCACCACTTTGCGTGCCAGGTCGAGGTCTCCACTTTCTTTTCGGTACTTGAAATCGGGGGTCGCAGCTGGCATAAAGCGGTCGTACAAGTGACCAAGTCTGCATTGCGCTGGGGTTTCGAGGTTGCGTCGATGTTGGTGGATAGCTCCATCCCGTCCTATCGTAGTAGTTCACCTCGCGCTCCATTTATCTGATCCACTCCCCCCACCTCACCTCATTCATCCTATGTTCTATCCCTCTCCTGCGCACCTCAGCATCCTATAACATTCTTTCAAGTACCTCAGTATTATTGTTCTAACTTCTACCTCAGAATCCCTAGCTCACTATCAGTCTATCAGATTCCAGATTTCACCCTAGCATCGTAACCCTCCTGTCATCTCTCTTAAACGTTGAATGCGATTGTAAATGTAGATAGACTGGTTAATTATTATGCGATTGTTGTAATTGCCTTTTGGTGTTTGATCGATGGTCAGAGCTCGACGGGCCGGGGAGTATGTTGGTCCTTGGAACGTTACAATGTGTGCTCGGGGTTCGCCATTGTCTCGATGCCCTGCAAGTAAATCAATACCAATGCCAATACCAACTGCCTTTGCTATGTGCAAACACTGCCCAGTCCTGGACTCTTAAATATGTTACTATCTATTTCTTTATCTTTAATCGTTTCTTTCACTAGGTGGTAAAACTTAAAGCTTCATTACCGTACATTTTTTATGACGTTCGTATATACCTTCTTTGTCGGTAAAGGTCCTTGAGTAGCCGACCTTCGTGATCAAAACTAGTCGGTAGTCTCAATGTGCCCCTCGGAAGCGAGGACTTATAGTCTGTAGACCCGTCCATAGCGGATTCCGCGAAAAGGGACATATGCAGATACTACACCCTAACGTAACAGCAAACAGCATCTCTCCAACTTTCGAATTTCCAACTGCACTGGAGTCTGGTTCTCTGAACTGGCGTTTCCTCCGACTTGCACGGCCGAGAAACCGGCGGAAACC